ATTAAACTTAAAAATACATCACACGCTTTTTTTTTTCTTCAGAGAATAGTTGTTAAATGTGTACTAGCATACCCTTGAGATCTTTGAGTTCATCAATGAGGATAATGGGGATACTCTACTTAATGGTACAACTCTGATCCTCATAGAATGAAAATGTATTTCCTGTTAGAGTTCACTGAACACATCACTCTGCATGAATGTCTATGTGTTTTCATATGAGGGCTTCGTGGACAGCCCATGCAAAATGTTGTTCCCATTCTCTGGTTCTCTTAACATTTATTGTTGTTGTTCAATAGTTTCAGTCCTTGGCAAAGATACTGGAATGGTTTGCCATTTTCTTCTCCAGCTCATTCTACAAATGAGAAAATTGAGGTAAACAGGGTTAAGTGATTTAACCAGAGTCACGCAGCTAAAATGTCTGAGGCTGGAATTGAGCTCAGGAAGATGAGTCTTCCTGATTCCAGGCCCAGCACTTTGTCTACTGCGTTACCTAGCTGCAGCTCTAAACATTGCATATGTACAAATTGAGCCTGCCCACTGTCTATCTGTTATCTTTCACTCTCAATAAATGGTCTGTCCACTTCTTTTTCTGGGCATTTATACACATATGGAGACACACACACACACACAGATCTTTTACACTATTAGTGCAATTAGGGACTGATTTAGGAGTGATAAATTCCAGGAATAATGAAATTATATTGCCATTACAATAAAAAAGAAGCTGGGAAATTCATGGTACAAGAGTAATATAATAGATGGCCATCCTGTGTGTTCCCTGGATAATCCTGCAATGTCAGGAGAAAGCAAAGAATGTTCTTAATTCATTTGATTAACCACTCGTGTGAACTTCTGGGAAGGCATGGAGAAGAGTCACACAGTATTGCCGAACACAAATAAGTTTCAATCTGTGGCTACAGAGAACATCTAAACTGATGAAATCACTAATCTCTCTGTGTATTTGAGTCCTACTGCTAATCCTTTATCTTGCTCAGACCACATCTAGATTGTCTGAAAGATATTTAGTCTATAGAAGAGAAGAATTGATGGGAATTGGGAGGTGAATGAGATGATAGCTGTCTTCAAGTATTTAAAAGGGCCATCATATAGAAGAGAGAGAGGGTAGACCTCCTCTGCTTGCTATGAGAGGGCAGAAATGAGATCAATGAGTAGAAATTGAATGACATACATAGCATTGTTACATGCTATCACAATGAGAGCTCTCTAAATAAGCTATCTTGGGAAGCAATAGAGTTCCTCTTATTAGAAATTTTCAGGCAAAGGATAGATTGCTATTTGTCAAGCATGGAAAAAGAATAGAATCCTCTTTCAGGTTTGAGTTGGGACTAGATACCCACTAATATCCCATGTAAATCCAAAATCCTGTGATCCTCCTGTGTAACTCCTCAGTGCAAAAAAGAAAAGAAAACAAAAAGCACAATTGATGCATTGAGGTTTTAGTTGCACTTTTATTATAGTGGGTAATTATTTGGTTCAAGTAAAATAATATTGTCCATCTTTCATTTCACAGCAGTGACCCAGGCTCATCCAATACTTTAGGTGCTGACAATCCCAATCACAGCACAGTGTGGTTTATCATGTATTACATGCTAGTCAAATATTTTAATGCCTTGAAGTTTTCTTCTACATAATAGTAAATATTATTTCAATAAATTAAGTATTTAAAATGTTTAAGGATCTTCCTTTTAAATTAATTTAAATGTAGGGTTTGCCAGTTTATGTTGAGTCTTACTCTTGAGGGGAGAGGGGAGTGGGAAAGGAGCCAAGCGTAGAAGTAATTTCCAGGTTTAGAGAAGATATAGTAGAGGTTCAATCAAGGATATCATGGAACTGGAGCCAAAGAACCAGAAACCCATGTGGCAAAACTCCCTCCTACCCCTGAAGAGCAGGCCCCCAACAGAAAGCTCCTTGGGCAGACTCTGTGGCTCCTTGTTAGTTTATTGGTGTTTGCAGAAATGACAACAGAGACAGTTCCACAGCAGAGATGTCCCAACTGAGACACCTGGGGAAACCACAGATGAGTAATATGCCACTTTTTTAGCTGCTGCTCCCAGTCAGAAGCATTAGCGTCAGGGGAGATTTTGATGCTGGTGATCTGATGGTTCTCCCTGTCTCAGCTGTCTGGTAAAGGCGACTGCAGAGAAGGAAACTGCTTCTGTAGGCAGGATATTCATGTAGAGCCATTGACCTTAAGAATTTATTCTTCCTCTGTCATCCCTGTCTTTGAAATTCCTTTCTCAACTGGACATTTATACCAGTTTGTGCATCTCCCTATGGGTCAGATCCTGGGGCACCAACCCAGAGGAAACATGGAATATCCTTATATTCCTAAGCTATTGTAGACCCCACTGTCTCAATCTGAGGGAGGGGGACAGGAAGGATTCAGGGGAGAGTCTACTTTGGTCAGGCATAATAATAAAAAAAATAATAAACTTAATAAGTTGTGGTGATAATAATGACAACTGGCCATACAAGAGACTAATTCGAGTTTTAAGCACAAATTAATTTTAAACCACCCTAAGAGTATGACTCTGAATTATCTACTTGTAGAACTTAATGGTTGTAACGTCATTGACCCTTTTGATAGGCTGGGGAAGTCTAGGGACTCTTTCTCAAAATAATATTTTAAATGCATATATATTCTTGGAAGTAAATAAAAGCAATGCTTTTCCCTTCTTTGGAATTTTTCATGTCACTAATTGGATTAACACAAGCATTCTTAATTATTTTGGGGTCATAGATACCTTTGGCTGTCTGGTATGGCTAGACCCCCTTCTCAGACTAATGTTTTTAAATGCATAAAATAAAGTACATAGGATTATAAAGAAAATCAGTTATATTAAAATATAGTTATCAACATATTTTAAAAACAAGTTTGTAGACATCAGATTAAGAATCATTGGACTAGAAAGATAAGTACATCCTAGAACCACTATATGTGGTGTAGTCAACATGTATACCATATCCTATTCTAAGAGAAATCCTTGAATTATAATGTAGAGGGAAGTGTATCCAGATCAAGCACAAGTTGCCTTGACTTCTGAGCTAAAGCTATTCCAGGTGATTTTGAGGGACAGCTAGATGTTACAGTACTAAAAATATAGTTAGTACCAGAAGGACCCCCAGATTCATTGTAACAGAGTTAATGCAACACATCAAGTTGGTCCTCTACCATTCCTGAAGATATTCTAAGCAAGGAAAAATCTGGCCCTTAGGATCAAACTAAATATCAAACAAAATATCTTAGGGTGCCCTTAGCAAGAGCAAACTCTGAAATATCTGTAGTCCAGCCCAGCCCATTTTCAAGACTTAGCTATAATTAGACTGGTGTTTTGAACTTAAGAACCAGATAATGGAGAGCACAGAAATTGTCTCTACGACTTCTTCTGAAATCTGAATTATCATTCTATATTGTGGGGAGACAATCAGGAATCTGTCATTATTACAAGGATCTGTTCAATCATTACTTTTTTTCAAGAAATACAGCTAATATGGGGACAGTCTGTGTTATTTTTTAAAGCTAAATTGTATCAAAGCATCTTTAACTGTCTTGAACTATCATTTCAAATATTTACTTGACTCTTATATGTCACTATAAGGCTCAAAGTAAATGTTCAAAGAATTTTTCCAGGGCATAGAGGCAGAAATAATCCTTATTTTTAACTAAGTTAATCCAATATACCAGTATAATCCTAGTTTGACATCCAAGGTGATAGCAAATGATAGACTTGCAGATTTGGAAATACCTCAGAAATCATCTAGTCCAGGAGTGAGGAACCACCACATATGGCCTTCTAGGTCCTTGGGTGCAGCCTTTTGATTGAGTCCAGGTTTTAGAGAACAAATCCTTTTATCAATCTGTGAAGTTTGGATTCACTAGATTCTAGTCCAATCCTTTCATTTTTCTGATAATAAAATTATCTGAGTTGCCAAAAGGGAAAGGGACTAGACCAAGCACTCTGCCACTTATTGGAAAAGCCATATCTAGATCACATTTTCTTCCCAGCATCATATTCTTTTTTTCAACTATGCTATGCTTCTTCCTCCTACTTTAGCTATATTTCTGCTTCCTCATTTCTCTAAGAGGTGCCCTTCTCCCTAACATGCCAATTTTTTTTAACAATCTGCCCCCCTGAGTTTCTGAGCCAAAGGCTAGAATCCCTGTGTAGTCATTTAGAAGAAAAAAAATTGTGAGGGGAATGACTTATCGACTAGTGTCTTGCTGGCCTTAAGAATGGTATATGTCTGTGCCATTCACCAGCACAGAATGCAAAATGCTCACTCAGCACATTGAAATTAATAAATTAAATTTTTGCTGAGCAATGTCTGAAAAGCAGCTGAAGTTATCAACTGTACCCTACCATCTCCATCCATTGTCAAGTCAGTTTTAGATGTGATTCAGATAAAAATAGCCTCCTCGGTGACTGAAAGACATAAATATTAACCTCATCAGACACCAGAAGGTGATTTGGTTTCAGAATGTTTGTTGGCCACAGATATTCGTTATATTCATACTATTATTTTGCAAATCCATTTAAATAAATTTACTTCCAACACACCTTTTATTACAAACTAGATGAGTTTTTGAAACTTCATCATAAAATTGTGCCTATTAACCTCTGCCCTTATGTATCCTTGGCATAAGGACATGAATCTCTTGTAGGGAAATTCTTTGTAGAAAACTAAATTCTAATATGGTAGAAGATAATGGGCAGGAAGTTGACTGTGAAGCCAGGATGTCCTAACTCTTTGACCCTGGATAAGACACTTAGCTCTTTTCATGCTGGGGTAATGAAGGCAAAGTTTTAGTTGCTTTAGGGTACTACCACTTTAGACACTTATATGTCAGAGTCTAGACTTAGAACCCACGTCTTCTTGATTCCAAGGCCAACAATATCATGCTGTCTATGTAGCACCTAGCTAGCAAGAATACATTTACAAAAGAAAAAAAAAAAAACAAAAAACAACCTTACCATATGACACTCTGGTGTCTGCATTCCAGTTGAACCACTCTGTAGTAGCTTCCCCCGCCCAGTACAATTTAAGGGAACTTCTTGCTATTTGCCCTGGAAACAAAAAGTACTTCATTACAGCTTTCGTCTTTAAACCCTGTGAGAAGGAGTTGCAGAAGTGGTGATGGGTAAGGGTTGGTTCTCTTGCACCTACCCATATGTTTATGTCTATGTTTTAAGATAACTTTTAACCCAAACAAAAAGAAAGTAAAATGGAACTCAATGTATCTCTGGATCGTAGATATATTTCACTGAAAACTCTCCCATGACATCTTATTTTCAGAAAAATAAGGACAAAGTAAATGCTGGTGTATGAAGCAAATGAAATGGTCTGCTTCCTTTGTGCCTAAAGATAATTGTTGTGTTTGTCCGCAGAGAGTAACCCATGACGTGCCTAGGTAATCAGCTACTAGCTTCTCTAAAAAACAAATGGGAAACCACTAAAAAGTAAATAAGCAGTGAGCTTTAGAATACAACAGATAGCATTATGTCTCTTCTCTAATCCATTATAAATATTAATAGTTAATAATTTAAACACACTGCATTATCCACCCCCTATAATTGTCTAGATCTCATTTATAAGTGAGCGAATACTGATAATTATTCGAGGTATAAATATTGGAGCTAAAAGGCCAGAGTGTTTTTAAAAGATTTTTACTTTAATATTTGAGCAAACTATTACTGGGAATGTAATGATTGTCTGAGGGCAGACTGAGATGAATATTTATGGCTGGGTGATTTCATCATTTTATTATGAATTTTATTAAATTAGGGACAGAATGGAAATAATGAAAGGAAATAGGCCACACCCAAGTTTATGATGATAAAAAGAAGCAAGAGATGGTTTAGAAGTAAAATATATTTTTCTATTAAAAAATTCTGTATTCATCAGGTCAGCAGATGTGGGTCTACAAAGTTGAAGGAAAATGCATATAGGGAGAATTTAATGTGATAAACACTATTTTTATAAATTGCAAGCCATAAGAACAAGGGAGAGTTAGAGATGGTAGTTCAGTGTTTTTGCCTTGATTTTTTGTGGGATATTGTTTTGTTTATAAGAGATCATTTTGATTTATAGTATGAATGGATCAGTTGAGTATGCTTACAGATTATGACTACATTAAATCAGTCCATCCAGTTAGTCAAGAAATATTTATTAGGACTCAGTTATGTAGAAGCCACTGTACCAGAAACTTAGAGAGAAACAAAGATAAGTTTCCTGTCCTCAAACAGCCTAAAATCTAGTATTTTGCCCACATAGGCAAAAATCTATAGGTTGTTGATTTATGGTCCTTTGTTTTAATGATAAATTCCCCTACTGCAATCTGGCTTTGCTGCTTCATTGCGAAATAGAAGTGACATGGGCCCTTAGCGCCGATGCCAGCACACAAATTCTAGCACATCCTATTGGGCTTGGAAGGCTTCTGGTATCATGTCTTCTGTCCAAGAACCAATCCAAGTTTATAGAGGCTTATCTCTCCCCTTTTGGTGCTGGTGGTGGTGGTATTTGTTTGCTTTTACCACACTAATAATTCATGCACCTCTCTAAGGAATTAGTCAATCAATCAATCAATGAGTATACACTGAGAAAAACTGTCCTAGGTACTGATGATAGAAAGACAAAAAATGATGCAGTCTCTGCCCTCAAGTCATGGAGAGACAACTATCTGTGTTAGTGCAGTGGGTACTAAAATAGAAAAATTGCTTAATCCTGTAAGTATTGGAAGGAAAATTATTATATTCTACATAGCAACTGAAAAACTCAAATGTGGAGCTCAATTTTAATTGATCAAAATTATGCCATCCTCTCTTCTATTCACTTTTTCAGCTCCCCAAAGAAAAATTGTTTTTATTTATGGCCAACCTTCATCCACTTTAGTACTATTTTATTAAAACCTCATGGATGTGCTGTAACTTTAGAAAAGTATTTGTTCTTCCAATTTTCTTTAAGAACATCTGGAGGGATATTATTGCAATCATTTATGTTTGGCATCTGTGATTATTAATTGAGTGATTTATTAATACAAGTTTTATTTTGTTAAGACTCCATAATCAACTTATAAGTAATTACCTAGTGACGGAATTTTTCATCTAAATATTATGGAAAGAAAACATAAGAGCCTAAAAGAGTAAGCTTTTTGGCCATGCAATTCCAACTTGTCAGAGTCAAAATTAGTTCTCCTAATTCCCAGTCTTGAATTCAGATCCTAATTCACATGCCTATAACCTGCTAAATGTTTTTATGTGATTTATGCTTTTGGGTAATTAGATGCAGTGACTGAATTGTCTTTTCTATTGCTTGGCAGTATGTCTTTAATGTATCTTGCAAAGTGTCATTTATTGCTTTAGGTATAAAGTGAAATTCTGCCTTTATTGATTTACTCACCTTTCTCTAAAGAAGAATATTTGGGTGACCACCACATACCACCAACCTCTTTTAATCAAGCACAGCTATTGAACCTCATCTTGGGTGTCAGCCATATTGAATATAGTTAGTTTTTATCACTTGCAAATCTTTATTTCATCTATAATGAGTTTGCTTCTCCCTTCAGAGCTCAGCCCAGCAAAATTGTTCTACAGCTACTGTCTTCTCTTGCTATCCAGTCTATATTTCTTAACCCTCTGTAATCTGACTTCTTCCTTCTCCTCTATGCTTAAACTAACTCTTTTGAAGGTCTCAAGTAAAGCATTTTTTTCCAATTAAGGTGGCTCAGTGTTCTGGGCTTGAAGTCAGAAAGACCTAAGTTCAAATCTAGCCTCATTTACTGGCAGTATGAACTTAAGTAAATCACTTAACCACTGTTCTGCCTCAATTTCTTTGACTGTTAAATGGGTATAATAATAGCACCTATCTCTCAGGATCAAATGAGATAATATTTGTAAGGCACTTAGTACAGTGCCTGGCACATATTGAGCACTACATAAATGTTAGCTGTTATTATTATTATCATTCTTTATTAATTGGAACTGACAGGACATAAAGCTCATGTTGCAAGTAAGGGAGTCTTTAACATGAGTAAGCTGGTGAATAGAGGAATTGATGACTAGCAGAAGAATGTCAGAAGACCTGTAAAGACCAGTTTAGATGTCATGTCCTCCATGAAGACTTTCTATACCATTCAAATACTATTGTAAAAAAAACAACTTATCTGTACATGATATATTGCTCTCCCTTCTTATTAGATTGTAAACTCTCTAAGATAAGCACTACATCTTTTTTTAATAAACCACGAATGCTGCAGAACACTGACTAGGTACTTTAGAAATAATTTTTGAATATTTGATTGAGTATGGTGATGAAAGAATACCTTCCTTTCCTCATCCTTTCTTTTCCCTACCTTGATATTCTTCATAGTCTATGTGCCTGGAGTTGCACAGTTGCATAACAATTACACTCCAAAACTTGGAGCGATTGCTGATCTCATAAATGGAAGTATTCTTTCAAGCAGTAGAGAGTACAATCTGTCTTTGCCTTCTCAGTCTATGTGACTGTCCTCCCATGTCCTCCCATAAATCATCCATAGGGTGTCTACTCAAAGTACTAAGTGCCTTCTCCTGACTCCTGTGACATCTTATAGATACCATTGGAACATGTAGGCACTTCATTACTTTTTCCTCAGTATGTGACTCACCCAATTTCAGCTCCAGCCATATATCTCTCTGAAGCCATCCTTTATTCCACATTCCCTTTACAATCCTTAGCAACTAGACATTTGACACTGGCCCCACACAGGTTCCTTTGCTTATGTGACTTGCTCGCCACCTACCTTAAGGGCAAGGAAGATAGGGAGTCACAGTGTTAATTATCCAGTAATGGAGTTTAATTAGCTAAATGCAACATCTAAATTGGCCAACTGATGCTAATCTGCTTGAGCTACCTGCCCAATCCACATTAGTTAATCACTTAAGCATTTATGAAAGGTAGCCCCTTCCTAAGAGGCTTCAGTATTTTCCCTAGCCACCAGAAGATATTCAACCTATGAAGGCTTGGTCTGCTCCCTACCACAAACCACCTCCTCTCAGTGTCAGAACTAAGGTAATTTTGATTAATCCCCCTCTCCCTGTCCCAATACCAATTTAAAAAAAAGGAACAAAATGGAATATTACTTAAAATATTAAAATGTGAAATCTGCTACCTATGGCTGACTCTGAAATCATTCACTCTTTCAGGTCACTTACCAATGCATTCATAGATTCAGATAATTAAGCATGTTATGATCAAAAAGGTTTTAATTACACAGAAATAGAAACAAAATAAACATATGAATTTTCTTTGTCATCCCCCTCTCATATTTTCTTTGCATATAGGAAATACTCCTAGTCCACATACATCAACAACTCAGAAGAATGGGGAAAATCTACCCTCCAATCTCAGGTTCATGTTTTTAAGGAAAGAGGAGATACTTATCCCTATGGCTCACTAGCTACAAAAATTCTAGTTGCCCAGATCTTCTATGTAACAACTGGTTTTATGTAAACCAGTTCATGGAATAATATCTGCTTCTCACTCAAAAGTGTCTAAGTGAAGTACTTCTTTCCAGACACCAAGCTATGGTAACTGCTGCCCTTGTCACCTCACTCTTTTGGTACTATGACTCCCGTTCCTGCCTTACATGCAGCCGTCTTCATGGAAGTCTGAATTACAAGGGCAGAGCAAGAAAAATAAGAAATGAAAAGTGCCATACCATATTGATAGTACTGTACTATATGTAACTTCTGCTCCCATTGCATTGGAAAGGCCCATGGTCACTCCTAATGAGAGGAGAGGCACAATTTTAAATATAATTGTATACATATACACATATATACATACATACTATATATATATAATATATATGTGTATATATATGTGTGTGTGTGTGTGTGTGCACAAATTATCTTCTTAGGTTCAGAGAAAAAGAGTTCTAAAAGATAAACTAGAAAAGTACAAGCAGATGACTACCTAACACAATCCAGTTCCATTCCATGATGGTCTATGAAGAAAATTCAGGCTGGTCCCGTGGGAAAAGAGGAGGAGCCAGACACTGGATGGAACAATGGCTTGTAATCTCTGA